GCGATCTCCTCGCTCAGCTCCTCCTTCTCGGCCTCCAGCCTGGCCAGCAGCTCCTCCCGCTCCCGCTGCAGCTGACTCTGCAGTTGGGCCCGTTCTGCCTCCAGCTCCCGCCATGCTGCCTCCTGGGGGCCAGGCCCAAGCACATGTGACCCATGAGGCTGCAAGGCCACCTGTACCCCAGACCCTGAGAGACAGGTGATCAGGAAACTACAAGGTGAAACTACAAACGGCTGCTAAGGGCTGTGGCTGGGACAAGCCAGGGTTGCACGAGCCCCGAGGAGCAGCCGCCCTGGTATGGGGGTCGGAGAATGTTTCCTGGAGGAGAGATGAGTACCAGTCAGCAGGAAAAGGGGGGGAAGGAACCTCAGGCCCAGAGTGCAGCCCCAGAGATGGCCTGGAGGGAGGAGAGAGCACGGCACACAGGGAAATCATAATATGTAAGGGTCACTGGGGTGTGGACTACGAGGGGAACGTGGTGAGCAATGGGGCCAGAGCCAAGGGCAGCAACCAGGGAGGGGTGGGCCTGACTCTGAGGACAGTCGGGGCAACAGAGAGCCTGAAGCCAGAGCGATGAGGAGCAATCTAAATTGTAGACTAGGGTTGTTCAGGAACTGAGAAAAAAGAACCTGGATTGCAGGTAGGGGTTGAGGGGAGTTGGGTTGGCTGCGAGGAATAAAAGGGGTTTAGGGCTGCGGGTGGCAGAGTAGCAGGAAAGAGTACAGATTTGGTGACATGAAGAGGACAAGTCAGGCGGGGCAGGGAGAGTAAAGACTGCACAGGAGTTTGCTCCTTGGGGACTGGGTGGGTAGAACCCACAGGCAAAGAACGCCCCACCTAGGGTCTGAGGGCAGTGCCCGGCACCTTTGTGAAACTTCCAGTGCTTCACTGCCACCTGCTGGACAAGTGTGATACTACAAGGCCAAGGCCAAGACGACACATGGCGCCCCCTGGAGTCCTGCAGGACAGCCTGAACCTCTGACACAGGCAGCCCTGCCCACCCCGAGTCCTGTTCTCCTATGTGAAAATAGCAACCAGCATTTATGCAGCGTTTACAAAGTGACAGTCACTATATTAAGCCCTTTATATGGACTATCTCACCTCATCCTCACAATCCCCTGTACTATCCTCATCCCCATCGTTACAGATGGGAAAATGAAGGCAGAGACCATAGGTGACATAACCAGTATAACTCATCCTGCAGTCTGGCCTAGATCAGATCCAAACCCAGGCAATGTGACTCCAGAGCCAGTGTTCTTAGACAGCTCTGTTCTGTCTTGTAGTGACCTGGCTCCTCACATTTCGCACTACGTGTTCAGGTCCTAGAGTGGTCCTTCATAAGCAAACGGCACTTCTTACAAATGAAAGTGCCTTCCTGAATCAGGATCACCAGGGCCAGACCAGATCCGGGGCCTGGGAATCTGCATGTTTGATAAGGAGTCCCCAGTGTTTCCTCCCAGCTGCTCCCAGGGCCTCCGGAACAGAAATAAAGTTCTGTTTCACAGAGGTGGAAACCGAGGCAGAGGGAGAAGAATGACTCGCCTGAGACCACAGAGGAGAGAGAGCAGAGCCCCGCCCACCCTGACCCCGCTACCCGAACCTTCTCTCGCTGGAGTCGCTGCACGTCCTCCTCGTGGGCTGCCCGCTGCTCCCGCAGAGAGGCCTGGGCCTCCCGCTCAGCCTGCACCAGCTTCTGGGCCATCAGCTCCTTGTCCAGGGCCGCCTTCTCCTCTGCCATTGTCATCTGCTGCCGGAGGCCTGCCAGTTCTCCTGCACAGGGATGGTGGGAGGGGACAGACTTGGGTTGGAACGGAACCTCCCTGTGGACCAGCAGACTCAGGCCAGGTGAGCCACGTAGGCAAAACCCCAGAGGAGAGAGGGCCCACCAGGTACCTAGGCCGGGTTCCCTTGGAGAAGCTCCTCACCCCCTGGGCTTCAGTTTTCCCATCTGCTGCCTGAGCCCACGGGCCCAGCCCCACTCCCTCCCTCCCTGGAATGGCATCAAAGGGATGAAATGTCTGATGGGGAGGCTCCCACAAATGGGGAGGATAGCAACCCCATTGTGGATTGCTTACTATGGGTCAGTTACAGAGGAGGATATGGAGGCTCAGAGGAGACAGACAATTTCCCAAAGCTGCACAGCTTTCCGTGAGGCGTCTCCTTTAATGACTAATAGCCATAGACAAACTAGGTGGGCTGTGAGCACTAATGGAGGGACCACGGGGTGGGTACACCCACTGTGGACCATCTAAAAACCACCCCCCCATCTTTCAGCATTTCCCTTTCTAGTTCTGTCTGGCTCAGGTGGACGAGGACGGGGAGATTAATTTTCATGGTCCAAGAAACCGGGTGGGGCGTGTGGAGAGAAGCGGGGCTGGGACTGCAGGGCCGAGAGAGTCGCTCAGAAAAGCAGTGACGGCTCCACGGAGAACTCAGAACTCTCTCAGCGCCCTGATGACAATAAGCAGCAGGCACCGCTGGCTCAGCCAGGCGCTGTGACAGGCCTCAAATGCTTGCTTCACGCCTTCCTGGCAACAGCCTTAGAAGGCTGGCAGTCACCTCTAACTGTCAGATGAGGAACCTGTGGCCCAGGGGGGAAGGGAATTGCTCAAAAAAGCTCAGATCTAAGCGGCAGCGGCAGGATTGGAACCCAGGTCAGCCAGACTCCAAAGCCAGTGCTTCCAACTTCCGTGAGACCCCAGACCTTGACAGGTTAGTCTGGGTTAGAATCAGGTATTCCTCACCCACCCCCTAGTCCCCCCATACCCGTCAGGGCCTCCTTGGCCAGAAGCAGGGCCTGCCCATCAGCTTCCAGCTGCTCCCGACGGGCCTCGAGCTGGGCCAGCTGCCGCTGCACCTCAAACAGGCTGCTCTCCAGGGCTTCCTTCTCCAAGCTGCAGCACACAATCCCTCAGGCCTCAGGACTCGGCCTCCCGGGCCCCAGGAAACTGTGGATCCCAGGGCGTGGCCAGCCGTGGGCCAGGTGCCAGCCTACCTGCCCAGCCGGTCCCACGCTCCCTGGGGAAGCCTGAGCCATAGCCAGGACGCATTGGCAAGCCCTGCTCCTCAGCAACTGTGTGTGGGCCAATGCCAGGGTGTGGCTGGTGGCCCCAGGCAGACCCCCGCCCACCCTCCTCAGTGGGCTGGGCAGAGCCTAAAGCCTTACCGCAGGCGTGTGGCTTCCTCCAATAGGGTTCGGCCTTCACGCTCAGCTGCCGCCAGCTGCACAGCCAGACCGGCCCGCTCCTTGGCCAGCGCCTCCTTCTCCCGGGTCGCCCGCTCCAGCGCCTCTACCTGCCGTTGTGTCTCCCGCCGTGCCTGCTCCAGCTCATGCTCCCGCCCGCTCAGCTGCCGGGAGAGCTGGCACCCACCCAGGCACTGTGAGCACCCTCCCCTCCTCCCCCAGAGCCCCCCAGCCTGCCCACCATGCAGGACCCCAACCCCGGGCCTGATCCAGCCCTGGCCTAACAGGCAGGAGAGCAGGGTTCAAGCCCAGTCTCCACCCTGATGTGCTGTGTGTACTTGGACAAACCAGACTTCTCTGAACCTGCAACACATACACACGTGAGTGTCCTCACTCAGTCTGGGTCATAACAGAGCCCCTTCTACACCCCTGACTTCCAGAGCCCCTTCCACACCCCTGACCTTCCAGAGAAGCTGAGTATATAAAACAGACCAAGGAGCGCTGCTTTGCAGGCCTCAGAATGGAAACACGGAGCCCTGCTCCCTGCAGCCGTGGCCCATACCCTAGAGGCCCCTCCCAGGAGCCCCGCCCGCCATATAAAGGTCACTGTGTCCCTAAGACCCTGAAGTCCCTTCCAGTGTGTTCTCCCAACAAGTCTCACATCCCAGTCCTAAAATTCTCCACCTGTCATCACATTGGGATTGTTACTGGGAGGTGATTCAGCTGCCAAGTGCTCCCACGGGCGTCCTCTTCAGAACAGCCCTTTGTGATAAGAACGCTTGGCCCCGTGGTACAGATGGGGCGACTGAGGCATGGGGGGGTGGAGTAGTTTGCCCAAGGGCCCAGTTAGCAGAGGTGGGGCTGAACCTAAGCCCACATTCAGGCTCCTGAGCCTGCGAGTTACCCAGGACAGGTGTCGGAGGCTGGGAGGCTAGAACCCTGGCCCCACCTGCTCCCCATCCTCCACATCACCCACCTGGGCCAGCTGCTCCTGCAGCCGGCAGCGCTCCTGGCGCAGTGTGGGGACCTGGTGCTCCAGGGCCTCCCGGGCCTGCTCTGCCACCCGCAAGGAGCCCTCCAGGCCCTGTCGATCCACCTCCTGCTCCAGCCGAAGCTGTTCCAGCCGCTCCTGCTCCTCCCTCGCCAGGGTGGCCTCCTGCTCCACTCGCCGCTGCTGGCCCAGCAGGGCTGCCTTTTCCTCCTCCAGCTGTGAGGCCGGTGGGGGTGGAGGTGAGTGAGCAGATCAGCCCAGCCCCTCCACCTGGGGAAAGGGGTCCCACCCAGGACCAAGGGCCACCCACCCACCTATCACAGAGCCCAGGGAGGCTTCCTCGGGGGAAGGGGCAGTGGACACTGGGGAGAGGGAAGAAGGGAGAAGGGTCCACAGAACTTCTTTTCTCTCAGACCATGAAAGAGGATAGACAGACAGACAGAGTCAGAGACAGAAAGAGGCAGGCAGCGAGACAGAGAGGCACGGGGACAGAGGTGTTCAGGGAGGTGTACAGCGAGGCAGGATGTGGGCCAAGGCTGGGCCTGAGACGCCTACTGGGGTCTCTGAGTGGGAGCACAGGGGGGCGAGGAGGGGGACATACCTGGGCGACGAGGTGGTTCAGGCCCAGCTTGTCCTGTGCGAGGCTCTCGTTGAGGGCGCTCAGCTTGGACAAGGCGTCCCGCAGAGAGGCCTCCTCTGCCCTCAGCTTGGTCATCGCGAGCTCGAGGTCCATGCGGCCAGCCTCAGCCTGCAGGGGCCAGAACGGGGCGGCCAGAGACAGTCAGGTGGGGAGAGATGGCGAGAGAGGGACAGAGACGGGAGCGATGGGAAAAGATGTGCAGAGACATGGAAGATGGGGAGAGGCAAGAGGGTGGGGAGAAACAAGAGACACAGACGGGGTAGAGGGACAAGGGAGACGCACGGTGAGAAATCACTGCAGAGGCCTAGTGTCTAGGAAGCCACTTAAAAGCTGCTGCACACCGCAGGGCTGTGCAGAGCAGGGCAGAGGGTTCCCCAGAGCGGGCTTGGGGGAGGCACTGTTCAGGGCCCAGACGACAGGGAGTGGGGCAGGCACTCGCTAAGGACTGTGCCCCAATCCTCACAGACCCCAGGCCCGGGACCAGAGATGGGCCGGATGACCTGAACTCCAGGCACTGCCCAGGAGCGTCTGGAAAAGCAGGGATATGGCCACTAATAGAGGTGAATTCACTTATGTCTGGGGTCAGAGGTTGGTTTGTGGCCTGGGTCAAAGGTTAGCCTGAGTCCAGAAGGAAGGGTTCTGTCTGTGATCAGGGTCGGGGGTCAGCCTGAAATAGGGGTCAGTCTGTGGCCAGGGTGAGAAGGTCTGGGGCCCAGGGCGGAGGTAGGTTTGTGGTTGTGGGGCAAACAGGGACACACCTTGGTCAGCGCCTCGGCCACCTCGGCCTTCTCAGCCTGCAACATGTCCCGCTGCAGCGTGGCACAGCTCAGCGCCTCCCTCACCTCCACCAGCTCCTTCGCCAGCCCTGAGCGCTTCACCTCCAGCTGCTCTAGTTGTCTAGTGCTGTGGGACAGAAGGCGGGGGGTGCCCCATGTCACTTCCCTGCCCTGCGTCTCCCTCAGCCAGCCAACCTGGAACAGGCTGGGGGTCAGGGCTGAGGCAGGAGCCCTGGGGGCAAGAGCCTTACCAGAAGGACAGCCAGGGTCACCGCCTTTTGGCTCTGTGACTCTGGGCCTCAGTTTTCACATCTGCAAAATGGGCCTCACAAAGTTGTTATAAGGATACATGACTTACTTAAGGATACATGAAATATGTAGGATAGTGCCTGACATAGCTCTTCAAAGGCCTTTAGAAACAAGAATAATGTACTGGATATCATTATGACTTATGTCTCAGAGAAGTAAACAGTGCAGTGGTTAAGAGGTTAACTCTTCAGAGTGATGGGCAGAATGCTTGGGTTCAAATCCTGGCTCTTTTACTAACTAGCTGTGACCTTAAGGAAATTATATGACTTCTCTGTGCCTCAGTTTTACCATCCATAAAATGGGGCTAATAACAGCTCCTATATCATAGAGTTATCCTGAGGGTTAAATAAGATGATCTAATTGTTTAAAATGATATTAATACTAATATTACTGTAACTTTAATTTTAAAAAATAATGTTAATATTACTACTGGTATTTTAATGATTGTTATTATTACCATCCACACGCTTCCTTCCTCCAGTTCTCGGGTCCCAGGTAAATGACTGTACCTCCCTGAGCCTGTTTACCGAGACAGGACTGATCAGAAGACCCCACACCGGAGGACTTCTCAAGACGGTAGGAGGACAGGTGCTCTCTAGCCCCCAGGGACACTGTCAGGAGCCCTAAAGCCCATTCAAGTGGCCTTGGCAGGGAGGCCAGAAGCTACGCACCTCCGCTCGAGCTCCCTGCGTGCCCGCGCACGATCCTGCTCTGTGTCCTCCTTCTCTTCCTCCAGCTGGTCCCGCTGGCGCCGCAGCTCCTCCTGTGTCACCTGTAGTTTCTCCCGCTCCTGCCGCAGCTCCTCAGCCTGCTGCTGGGCCGCCTGCAGGCTATGGGCCAGACTGTCCTTCTCCCTGCAGGACCAGGGGTAGAGGAGCTGAAGGGGATGTTGGGGCTGCTCCCATCGGGGAAAACAGCCGTGCTGCTGTCCGACATGTGAGCCACATCCTCCGTCCTCTAAGGCACGTGCCTCCAGGAAGCCTTCCCTGACCATGTCCACGGCCAACTCATTTCATCTACCTCTCCCTGAAGCTGACTCATCCCAGCAGAGGGAACCTTCTCCCCCAAACTGCCCACTTGGGGGCTCAGTGGAACAGATGGAGGCAGTGGCACTATCTCCACCAGGTTGAAGAGGTTAGGCTCCTGAGATATGTGGGCAACTGTGCTGCCAGCTTGCTAGTCCATATGACCAGAAATGCCTCTATAACCCCCCAACCCCCCGTCTGGGAGGCCCAGTGGAGCTGGGTCTGCCCAGATCTCTGAGCTTCCTGCTGCACAGGCCAGCAGCACATGGTAGCCAGAGCAGGACAGGGGGAGGCAGCAACGGGGAACTCTGACAATTTGCAGGGTGTTGCCATTCTCCCAACTCCAGCAGTCACAAGCAACGGGAGGGTGCCTCCTGAGCCAGCTGGGGTTTCCAGCTCAGGCTGGGGGCCGATGGCGGTCATATCTTTCACTGTCCCACCTCATCGCTTCAAGTAGCAACCCTTAAGCCAGCGGTTCTCAACCTGTGGGTCACAACCCCTTTGGGGGTCGAACGACCCTTTCACAGGGGTCGCCTAAGACCATGGGAAAACACATATATAATTACATATTGTTTTTGTGATGAATCACTATGCTTTAATTATGTTCAATTTGTAACAATGAAATTGGGGGTCACCACAACATGAGGAACTGTATTAAAGGGCCGCGGCATTAGGAAGGCTGAGAACCACTGCCTTAAGCATACGAGACACAATAGCTGGCAGTAGGCGGAAAAACATACACCATGATAGTAAGTAAAAATAGCAGAATGCAAAGTGAGGTGCCCGTTGTGCACACAGTATAAAAGCCTTCTCCTTCCAAGGCACGGGCAGCATTGGTTTTGCTATCAGTTCCGATTCCTATCCCGGCCACACCCTGTGAGCTTGGACAAGCCTCTCAGACTTTGGCAGGAAGACTAATTGGAGATTATACACATAAAATGCCTGGCCACGAGCCTGGCACACAGTAGGTGTACAGGAAACGTTTGCTACCTCACTGCCAGAAAACATACACACATGGCTCGTTAGGACCGTCTTGGTGCACGCTTACAGGCTGGGGCTGGGGCTGGGGCTGGGCCCAGACACTGATTGATTCTCCGAGGCCCCCACTTCCCACCTCCCAGGCACCTGTTCAGGAGGTCGATGGCACTCCGCAGACGCTGGGCCTCGCGCTGGGCATCCTCCTGGGCCTGGGTGGCCCCGTCGGTCTTGTCCCGCTGACGCTGCAGCTGGTCCTCCAGGGCACGGCGCTCACCCTCGCTGTCACTAAGCTGCTTCCGCAGTGTGCCCAGGAGGTCCTGGCTGGCCTCGTAGCGCCCACGCATGTCCTGTGGCGTGGGAACCCCTGAGCCCGGGGGAGCCACTGAGCCCTCAGAGCCCCCTGCTTCTGTGCTAGTTCCAGGGATGTACAGCAGCCTATTCTGTGGCCTAGGCCTGAGGCAGGAGAGTGGCTAGGCTTCCACTCCCTATGCTGAGCCCTCCACCTGGACTCTGAGCCTCCATCTCCGAGGTCCCCAGCAAACCCAACCTAAGTACATTCCCTCCCCAGGCTCCGCCCCCAGCTGCCCAAGCCCCTCCCCTTGCTACCTGGACCTGTAGCTGGCGTTTGTGCAGGGCGGAGTGGATCAGGGCTAGCACGGAGGAGTCCGAACAGGCTGGGGATGGGCCTCGGCGCGGGGAGCGACCGCGGCCGGGCGAGGAGCGCCTCGATGGGGATGGAGTCCGGGGGCCCGAGAGCCCCCGCAGACTGCCCTCTGACGCATCAGCGGTGTGCTCGGAGCCACTTAGCTGAACACCGCTCTCCATGTCGGACAGAACGGCCTGCGGGGTGGGGTAGGGAGGCAGAGGAGCGGGGCAGTAGGGAGGTTAGTTGGGTAAAGACGCCCAGTAGGGGCAGCGGGCCCGCAGCGGCCATGTGACTAGCTTCATCCCCAAATCTGCGGCACAGCCTAAGCTCCCTTCCAACAAGGCTTCCTGATTCCGCTTCCACTAGCTCACAGCCCTCAGCCCGCCAGGTGCGGCCTCCCATGTATTGGGAAGACATCACGCGGCCTTTCTCACAGATGGGCCGGAACCTCGCCCAGGCAGGACCCCAGGTTCCCCAGCCACTGGCAGTTCTGGTCAAGGCCACCAGAGGAGCTGGCGGCCCTGGACTGCCTGGCCTTGCCCTGCCCAGGGCTCCCACCCTCTGGCCTCTCCGGGCTCCCTCCCACCTCACACCTGTGCCAGGTCCCTCAAGGTCTGCTGCAGCCCCTCGCCCTCCTCTGTGTCCAGGGCGGGCTGCTCCTGGAGCTGCAGGGCTTCCTGGAGTGGTGAAGAGACGAGGAGAGGGTGGTCAGGGTCTGTGCCCTGATCCGAAACCTACTCATTCCCTCCCTGAGCCCCCACCCACCAGGCAGCCTCGAAGGCCATGGCCATAGTGCAGCAGCCCTAAGTGCCCTGAACAGACGAGGCCCAGAGAAGTGCAGTGTCCCACCTCAGGTCACACAGCCTGCTGGGGAAGAGCTGGACATAGAACAGGGCCTGGACCCACACAGAAGGGTGACCAACCCAGGCAGCACCTTTGAGGGGTGTCCCTCGGGTGGGGAGGCAGCTGAGTTCCAAGAGAAAGAGCCCTGGACTAGCAGATTACAGGCATGAGCGCAAGTCCTGCCTCCCCAGTCTGAGTCTCTGGACAAGTATTTCCCCTTGGGCCTCGGGTTTCTCATCTGTGTAAGGGGCTCCTGTTACAGGGCTGCTGAGAGGATGAAATGGGATAAGAGTTAACTGTGCTCACACTAAGCCTCGCACGCACTAGATGCTCAATTAATGAGGGTGATACAGTCTGAGTGGGAAGCTCCAGGGGGGCCCAACAGCCCGGCCCTCAGCCTGTGCCCACGGGTCTGGTCAGTGCCCCATCCCGCCCTGCCACACCTCGAGGGCAGCTGCATCTCACCAGGGCCTCAAGCTTCTCAGTGAGGGCCTTGTTGACCCGATCCTTCTCCAGGTTCTGGTTCTGAAGGCGCTCCACTGTCAGGGCCAGCTCTGTCATTCTGGAGGTGGGGGAGCAACAGAGGTGAATGGGAGACTCACCCCAGCTTGTCCTCCAACCCTCCAGCTCTGTGTCCTGCATGCTTCCCCAAACCTGAGGCAGGGACCCTAGGATTCACTTCCCTGGTTGTATGACCTTGAGCAAGTCACTTCTGTCTGTAAATGAGAATGAATGAGGTTGCCCCCCACTTTGTCTCCTGGGGAAGCACCCTGGGACTTGTCGAGGTTGTAGGAGCTGGAAACAAATTTGGTATCAGAGGTTGAACTGCTTGTGATGTGCCCTGGGCAAGAGCCCCCTGGACCTCAGTTTCCCACTCTGCCAACGGGGTGTCTGGGAAGACTGGCTGACCTCAAGCCCGTCCCCAGTGAACAGACCCCTCCTCCCCTGCCTCACGTGGCACCTACCAGGCACCCACCTGGCATTGAAGTCGGCCTTGTCCAGGTTGCTTTGCATCTGCAGCTGGGCCAGGCCCTCCTCCTGCAGCACCTTGCCCCGCAGCTGCTCCTCCAGCTGGGCCTGCAGCAGCGCCTGCTTCTCCAGGGCTGCCTCGGCCCGGCTCTCGGCCAGCTGCAGGCCCGCGCTCAGCCCCAGTCCCGCTTCCTGGACAGCTCGTGAGGTCCGGGCCAGCTCCCCTCCCAACTGCAGCAGATCTCTAGTGGAGAGAACACACAGCAGGGATGGGATGGGGGTGGGCTCCCAAGCGTCAATTAAAACTACACTGGGATGCCATTTGTCACTATTAGAATGGGGGGAAAGTCACATAATGCACGGTGTGGGTGAGGCTATGGGAAAATAGACCCTCCCCCACACTGCTGGGAGGGCAACCACAGCTGAAGGCAGTTAGAAAGAGCTCTGAAAACGACTAACTGATGGGCTCTTTGTGACCCACCAACTCCACTGCTAAGAATTTATCCTACAGAGATGCCCCAACACCTGGGAAATGGCCTGTGTATAAAGTGATCCCCTGCAGCATGCTCAGGCCAAAAATGCTGGTGCAACCTAAATAGCCATCAAAGGGGACTGCTCTTAACATGACACATCCATTCTGTGGGCTATCTGTAGCCGAGAAAAACAAATGGGGAAGCTCTTCAGAGCCTGAAATAGAACCACTCCCACTGTAACTCAGTTAGAACTATGCGGTGAAGAAAGCATCTTCAAGCCCTGGCTGGTATCCTGGTTGGTTGGAGCATCTCCCCAATGCACCAAGGTTGTGGATTCAATCCCCCGTCAGGGCACATACAAGAATCAACCAATGAACGCATAAATGGGTGGAACAGCAAATCGATGTCTCTCTCTCTCTAAAATAAATTATTTAAAAAAAAAGCATCTTCAAGAACTGCAAAGATGAAATTCTAACAATATATAAAAGGGTGTGTGAGAGAGAGAGAGAGAGAGAGAGAGAGAGAGAGAGAGAGAGAGAGAGATCTGCTGTATTTGCTTGTATAAAAAGAAGCCTGAAGGCCCTAACTGGTTTGGCTCAGTGGATAGAGCGTCAGCCTGCGGACTCAAGGGTCCCAGGTTCGATTCCGGTCAAGGGCATGTACCTTGGTTGCGGGCACATCCCCAGTAGGGAGTGTGCAGGAGGCAGCTGATCAATGTTTCTCTCTCATCGATGTTTCTAACTCTCTATCCCTCTCCCTTCCTCTCTGTAAAAAAAATCAATAAAATATATTAAAAAAAAAAAAAAAGAAGCCTGAAGGCATATTGCTTGCCTCCAGGAGGGAGAGGAGAGGAGTGTCTGAGGCCAGGGGTGGGAGGGGGCCTTCTCACCATACACCCTTTTGAAATTGGAATTTGTGAACATATGAATTATTCAAAAGTAAAATATTAGGTCCTGGCCAGTGTGGCTGGGTTGGTTGGAGCGTCCTCCCATACACCAAAAGTTGGCAGGTTCGATTCCCAGATCAGGCACATGATCCCCGGTTAGGGCACGTGCAGGAGGCACCCCAATCGACGTTTCTCTCCCTCTTTCCCTTCCTCTCTCTAAAATCAAATTTTTAAAAAGTAAAATTTTAAATTCTAATTAAAAATAGAGCATACTTTAAATACATCAAATGGGTTAAATCCTCTCGTTTCCTGAATGAACGGTACCACTGGGTATCTAACGCAAGGAGAGGAGGTGACTCATTAAGGAAGAATCCAGCTGAGACAGGAAGGAGTGACGGAAGAGGATCACAATCTTGCAACCCTGATGAATGCCTGGGCCTTAGCATTGAGCATCTGAGGCTGCCGGTGCACAGAGACGCCCAGGCATTCGGGGCCTCCTGATGAAAGAGCACCCAGCACTTACGAAGAAGCCTTATAAAAAAACCCAAAGAAACAAACAAAAAAAAACCCTGAACATGAATCTGATCAAGCCTTAAATCCAACGTCCAGTTTATAAGAACCACAGGGGACAAAGGTGTTAAATGACACCACAGAATCCAGACTGTGGGAAACTTCGGACAACTGTCCCAGTTTCCTGAACAAATAACAGAGATTAAAGGACAAATCAGCCCATCGCATTTTGTGAACATCTGCGGGTCCTGATTCAAACACACTGTCAGGACAAGAAGTGAAGCAAACCATCTGTGACATTGATGAGTCCATTGGGAATCTGGACACACTAAATATTTGATATTTTAACAAAAGATCATTAAATACATTTTTAATGTAAAAAAGGAAACAAATTGGTCTCCCTGTCTCTGGGCTCTCCCCACAGCCTCACCTGCTCAGCCCAAGCAGGACCGAGCCCCCTGCCGGAACATGCCAGCCCCCTCCAGCCCCCTGCTAGCCCCCTCTGTTCACCTGCCTCTCTCTCCAACCCCATCCCCACCCCCAGTGCCATTTCTCCCGCCTCCACGCCTTTGCTCAGGCTGTACACTCTGCCTGGAGTGCCCCAGCTCTGCCAGTTAAAATCCCACCCATCCCTGAGGTCAGTGCAAATTCCACCTCCTCTATGAAGCGTCTTTCTGACCCTCCCATCCTTGTGAGAATTGAGGACATTCTCTGCTCCACTTTCATGTCACTGACCACTCACTTCCTTGGTCTAGAATTTGGGTGTGGGGGGTTCTATTTCCTTTTATCACTAGAGGTGGTAAGGTCCTTGGTAGTAGAAGCTGAATATTCTAGTGGATTAAAAGCAGTTGTCAATCCTGACTCAGCCACTTACCACCATGTGACCTTGGAAAGGTCATTCTACCTCTCTGAGCCTCAATGTCCTCATCTGTAAAATGGGAAATATTACTATTCCTACTTCACAGAGATGCTGGATATGAGATGAAATGAAATGTACAAAGAGCCTAGCTCAGAGGAAATACCTAGTAAATGTTGACTGCCACGATCATAATAAGAGTTCATTATTATAGTTGCTTCTGCATCTCCAAGGGCCCGTAGGTGTGTTGGGTTGGACTGAAGTTCAACTGAGTTGAGCTGAATTCAACTTAAAAAGTGGGTGCCCACCTAAGCCGGTTTGGCTCAGTGGATAGAGCATCGGCCTGCAGACTGAAGGGTCCCAGGCTGGATTCCGGTCAAGGGCACACGCCTGGGTTGTGGGCTCGATCCCCAATGGGGGTCGTGCAGAAAGCAGCCGATCAATGATTCTCTCTCTTCATTGATGTTTCTATCTCTCTCTCCCTCTCTCTTTCTCTCTGAAATCAATAAAAATATTTTTTTAAAAAGAAAAGAAAAATGATGTTTGTTTTTTTTAAATATATTTTATTGATTTTTTACAGAGAGGAAGGGAGAGGGATAGAGAGTTAGAAACATCGATGAGAGAGAAACATCGACCAGCTGCCTCCTGCACACCTCCCACTGGGGATGTGCCCGCAACCAAGGTACATGCCCTTGACCGGAATCGAACCTGGGACCTTTCAGTCCGCAGGCCGACGCTCTATCCACTGAGCCAAACCGGTTTGGCAGAAAAATGATGTTTTAAAAAAAAAAGTGGGTGCCCCCCAGCTGCTGCTGCAGCATCTCCCCACGTCACCCCTCCGCCAGCCGGGCCTCACCTCTCGGTAGACATCTTCACCTCGTTGACCAGTCGCCGGACCCCCACAACCTGCCTCCAGAGGAGGAGCAGGCGGCTGTGCTCGTTGCTGAAGTAGGCGTTGAAGGACTGGAGGGAAGACAGGGTGAGTGAGGGGCTGCGGGGAGGGCCACCCGCTTCTGCCCCAGCTCTGACCATCCTGGGAGGCACTGTTGCCCAGGGAGGGGGTCTTCCTGGTGGGTCAGGTCTGGGCCTGCACACAGGGCCGTGTCGAAACTGTCAGCCTCTCACTGCCAAGCCTCCCTCTGGCACTGGAAAATGGGTTTCAATGGCCCTGCAGTCCCAAGAGGCAGCGAGAAAGGGCAGAAAGTGCTGGCACCGAGGTTTGCACCCCAGCCGCATGGCCGGGCAGGTTACTAACCTCTCTTTAAAATAAGGACAACAGCACCTACCATGCTCAGTTATTCTGAGAAATAGGGAAAAAATGAACACGCAGCACATGGAATGTGCAATCAAGGCCAACTGTGATTATGACAACTATTTACCTCTCCTAAAGGGCTCCCGTGGCCAGCAGGGCCTCCCGCTCCTTCTCACGAAGCCTGAGTCCTCTCCACTCTACAAAGACCCTTCCCCTTGGCTCAGGCGGGACCCACCAGGCCCCACTGGCCTCCCAGAACCCTGTGCCCACCTCCTCCTCACGCCTCCACGCCACCTCCCGCTGCTCCAGCTCCTTGCGACTGCGTGACCAGTCACTGGTCACCTTGCGTATGTCCTCTCTCAGAGCCTGATTGGCTGAGCTCGCCTGGTCCAGCTGCTCCCGGAGCATAGCGTTCACCTGGGCCAGGCTGCTGCTCCTGGGTGGGACCAAGAGGGACCAATGGGCTCAAGGCTGGAGAGGACCGCCCTGCCGCCATCTCCGCTTCCTGCTGGGTGCCCCACCTCTGCTGCTCCTCCTCCAGGCGGATGAGGGCGCTCTCCAGGTCTCTGCTGTGCTCTGTGTCCTGGGTGGGAGAAGTGGGCATCAGGTTGGGCACGAGGAGGAAAGGGCCTGCCCTGCCCTGCCCTGGCACCCACCCTCAGCCGCTGCTGCTCCAGCTCTGTGGATCTCTCCAACAGCTGCTGCTCCAGCTCTGAGCCCTTCTTCTTGTACTGGAGAATCTGGGGATGGGTGGTGAGCAATGGTCAGCCCCAGGGGGTGGGGGCAGGGCACAGTGAGCAAGCACATTGGGTAGGCAGGAGCAGGAGTGGGCGGCCCTGACCTTGGCCTGCAGCCGTTGCACGAGCTGGGCTTGCCGCTGCTGGCCCTCCTGGTAGGCCTGCAGCTTTCGTCGGTAGGAGGCCTGCTCCTCCTGCAGCTGCCTCCGCAGCTCCACGCTCTGCCGTACCAGCCCCCTGGGCTCCTGTGTTTCCAGCTCCCCAGACTCCAGCCGCACAGCCTGCTCCAGCTGCAGGGAAGGGCCCTGGGTGAGAGTCCTCCGTCTCCAGGGAAGGCAGACACAGGCGTCTGCAGGGAGCACCAGGCTGGGCCCAGACCCACAATGCCTTGCAGGCACATTTGGGCAAGCCTGGATGCAATGCACATATGCATGGCCTAAGGCAGCCATGCCTGGACACACAGACGGGGCATGCATGGACACACAAACATGTGCATGCAAAACACAAAGACGCACCTGGGGTAAACCTTAGAGGCCCTGGTGCACTGTGAGCCTCTCTCCCAAAGCAACTAACCCCACTGCGGTTGATGATTCTTAGATCCGTGTCCATGTCTTCCCACCCCAAACCCAAGTGAGCTCAGGAAAGCCTGTTGTTCCCATTGTATCTTAGGCCTACAGCAGTGTTAGTGGCATGTTCATTAGGATCATGAATTAATGGCATAAGCACATGTGAATACATTCAAACAGAGGCATCAATGCATGCCTACTGAGCTCAGAGACATGCATACACATAAGGCACACAGGCGGTGTCAAACATCCCCAGGGTGACACAGATGAACTCCTTGGCCTGCCCCGACTCCCTTACACGCAGCGCTCAGATTTGTAAGAGGTGCACACGCATGTTCTATACCGTGTGGCTTATTAATGCCTGAGCCCCGGCCCGGCCTCAGGCTCCCACCTCTCCCTGACCTCATGGGAAGCCCTCTGCTGCCAGCGCCCTTCCTTCACCCCCAGGTGGCTCGCAGCCGCTCCATCATCAGGCCCTGCAGGCACAGGAAGGAGGCCTGCCTGGCTCTGGCTGCTCCAACAGCCTTGGAACCCTCTATCCTCCTTAGGCACCTGCTGGTCCCAGGGGGCCCCTCAGACTCCACCTGTGGGGGAAGCAACTGAGGATGAGTGCGACTAACAGGAGCGACAGTGCCCAGGGAGAGCCAACAGGAAGACAGCCCAGCCCAGTGGACTCTGGCACCAGCCCACACTCGCCATCTACAGCCTGGGCAGGGCATTCACACGTCCACCCACGCCCAGTCCCAGGGAAGCCAACGGCAAAGACAGCTGCTCTCCCCACACTAATAACGGGGCCAGGCCAGGTTAGTGGCAGGTGCCGGTTCCCTCCAGCTGTTCCCTGCACTGATCCAGTGCGCCCAGGACATGCTTAAGGAGCCACTGAGAAAGCTGGAAACAACTTCCTCTCTGCCTCCCCCACTCCCCCAAGGACAGCACTGGGGCAGGGTGACTGTGGCCACTGGAGCCACCCACAGGGAGGGGCTGGTGGGGGCTTCAATTCAAGTTGGGGGAACAACTCGGTCTGCAGGTGTGGGAGGAGGTGGTATGCGGGTCTCTGTGAAGGCTGGGCTGCAGGCCTGTGACCAGTGTCTGCAAGCCGTCCACCTCAGTCAGGGGACCGGCAGTGCCCACATCCGAGCGTGCCGGCGGTGGCACTGAAACGCTGTGTGTTGTGCATCAATGCAGGTGCATCTCACGGGGGTGAGTGGGGAGTATTTTGTCATTTGTCTCCACCTGGGACCCTGAGCGTCTCCGGGGGACCTGAGAGAGGTGGTGTCTGTGGTCACAGGTCTACATTGTGGTGCAGGTGGGTACATCTGTGTGTCCCCGTGTGTTCACATGTTTGTGAGTTGGAGCATGTGTCTGGCTCTGAGTGTCTGTGGTGTGTGTGTCGGTGACTCTGTTCTCTGTGCTGACCATTGGCTGTGTGTGTCCACAACATGTGAGACAATGTGTTGTGTTGTGCGCAGGATGGATACATCACTGCTGTGACTCTGCACCTGTGTGAGACATTCCACACCTGGGTGGGACTGGGTGGTGCCTGGCTGTGGGTGCAGATTCTGCTGTGGTGTGTTTGTGCATTTGTGTGTCTGTGTGGGTCTACTGTGGCCTGTGCTGTGTGTTTTACACAGGTGTTTGGGCCAGGTGCTATCTGCTTCTGTGATTTAGAGGGGTTCAGGCAGTCCTCAGGCACTCCACTTGCTTCCCCAGGGCTCAGAGCCAGGCCCGGGTCACTCCCAACCATACCTCGCCCCTTTCCACGAACTTCACCCCTCACAAAACAGCCTTTCAATTTTACTAGTAATTCAAAAGGAGAGAAGGGTGTCACCAAGCCAGGGATGAAAGAAGTTTACAGTCTCCCCTAGCAACCACTGCCCTAGTACCGTTATTATTCGAGTCACTCTATCCAGGTTGCCATGGACACAGGAAGCCCAGGGGGCCCATTCTGTAGAATCCAGGGGGGTGGCCATTCCCTCCTTCCCATCCCAGCTGTCTCACCCAACACCTGCTCCTCAGGGACAGGAAGAATGGGGTGGGGGTGGGGGGCTCCACAGGGAGCTTAAGGGCCTCCTTCTGAACTTGGAGGTGGCTGCTGGGAGCCCTTTGCCTGTCTCCCTACATGCAATCAACAGGACACAAATCCCTACCTCACCTCCACTCTCTTTTCCCAGGGATGCTGTGGCCCGCCAACCTAGCCCACATGCAACAGTTATGGCCACAGGGGCAAGCCTGCCACCTGCAGCATGGGGACAAGGGGGCAGCAGGGACAGACAGTGCCACAGGCCCTCAGAGCCCAGACCAGGGCCTCATCCCAGCTCCACCACTGACCCTGGGCCCATCACACTCATTTCTGGGTCTGTTTCCCCACCTGCAATAGGTGATCTCCAGGCTCTGATGTTCTCTGTGACCCAGAAAGGCCCGGAGGTCATGCTCCTGCAATCCCTGCCTCCAGGGGGGGCACTGACACCATCTCTCCGAGGACAGTCAAGCACCAGGTTCATTCTACAAGTTACTCGGGGTCTCCCTGGCCACATGGTGGAATTTTCTAGACTTAACGCAGACCCCCTACCCCCGTGCTGAGGCCCCAGCCCCAGCAGCTGTGTCCTAGTAGAAAAAGGAACCTGTCGCCTGTCCCCTCTTCTTCCCTTCTCCTGCCAGCCAGGGGGGCAGTGCTGGCTTCATTGTCAGCCAGAAGCTGGCATCTAAGAGGCAGCCCCCCATGAGCCTGGCAGCGTGCCAGGGGCCAAAAGATGAGAGGCCTAAACTGGGAGGGGGTTGGCTCAGGGCCCCATCATCACCGACAATGTGGAACTCGAGCCAGTTCGCGCCCCACACCCGCTTCAAACCTTGGGAAGACTGGCTCTGAGCTATCCCCAGGGCTGGGGGCCTGCTCCCTGCAAGTCCCAACAAGTCAGGGGCCTGTCCGGGCGGGCAGACACCAGGACACAGGCACAGCCTCCAGCCGCACTCAGACTGCTCAGCCCTCTTCCCTACAGGGGTGTGCAAGCCCCGCATGAGCAGGTGGGCGCCGGGGTCCTGGTACCACCCAGGGGACCCTGAGCAGCTTCAGTCTCCCATTTGCAACATCAGAACGTCATGTCTGAGGTCCTTCCAGCTTCCCAGGGGCCAGCTGCCCCCTGGGACTCCCAGCCCAACTATCTCTTCCCACCCCCAAGAAACAAAGCTGTAATGCAGAGCCCTGGGCTGGGAGTCGAGAGACTAGCATTAATTGGCGGTGTGACCCCAAGCACAGTGCCTTCCCTCTCTGAGCCTCCATTATCTCCTCTGTGAATGAGCATCACCATGGTCCCACCCCTGGTGCATTACATGTAAAGCACCCAGCACCTGTCTGGCCAGTAGGCATTCGATAAATGGTGGCTGCTATTATGACTGTTAGTAATACGCACGCATTTTCCATCTACACACATTCTCCTTCCCTCATGCAACTCTTCCACCACTTGCAGCCACCACCAACTCCCCAGGGTCACCTCCTAGGAGTCTGGAGGTCCAGAGAAGACAGTGTACAGAGGACAACCTGCACCTCTGGCCCTGGCCACACCGACCTCCTGGCCAGGCCCTGGGACCCCCGCAAGCCTGAGGCACAGGTTCCCAGGGGAAGTGAACCCGTCTGGACTTGGAGGCAGGCCTGGCTTCGCCTCCCATGGCTGGGCCTCACCCCCACGGGGAGTGTGGCTGCCTGTGCCTACCCCAGTCTTGCCGCAGAGCCCAGCCACTGTTGGGTGAAGCCCCAAACCCATCCCCACTACAGAAAACAGACTCCGAGCCGGGCCGGCGTGGCTCAGTGGTTGAGCGTCAACCAATGAACCAGGAGGTCAAGGTTCGATTCCCAGTCAGGGCACATGTCTGGGTTGCGGGCTCAATCCCCAGTGTGGGGCATACAGGAGGCAGCCGATCAATGATTCTCTCTCATCATCGATGTTTCTATCTCTCTCTCCCTCTCCCTTCCTCTCTGAAATCAATTTTTAAAAAAGAAAAGCAAACAGACTCCAGGAGCAGAGTGATTTGCTCAAGGCCATTCAAGTTGGCGGAGCCACAGTTCGAACCCAGGCCGGCCTGAGTCCAGGCCCACCTTTTTGCCCAGTGTGCAGGCCTGCCCTGGACATCTCCCTGACCTCACATCCAGGGAGCAGCTGGCTCAGCTCTCAGCCCCCAGGCAGCACCCACCCTCTCGCTGACCGCGTTGTACTTGATGGCCAGCTCATCACGCTCGGCACGGCTCTGGGCCAGCAGGTCCTCCACGCGGGACAACTCCTGCTGCAGCAACTGGTTCTCCTCCTGCAGCGACAGCATTGATGCCATCTCTGTGGCCGACAGCAGGGCTGGAGAGGGACAGCAGGCATGTGGTTAGCTTCCAGCTGGGGCCAAGGGGACATCTTCCCTTTTCCCTCCAGGTGCCCTACCCATCAGTGGAGGCAGGAAGATGGACCAGGACCCAGCACCAGGTCACACAAACAGAGAACAGGAAGGTGGGCAAAGCCACGGGCCTAGGGCTAGACTTAGAGTGGACACAACTACAGCTGAAGTGTGGCCCCAGCAGGCCCAGGAGGTACAGGAAGGAAGCTCATTAGGAATCAGGAGACTAGGCCCCAAGTTCTAGCTCCTTCCTTCTGCAGCTACTGCTATTCTCTGGACCTCAGTTTTGCAGATCTGTAAAATGGGTGGAATAGTAACCAGACCCAGGAGAGCAGGTAACTTCTGAGACCAGGGCTCAAGATAGTGTAGGTCAAGTTGTAAGGAAGAGAAGGATGAAGTAGAGGAAAAAAGGAGAGGCCACAGGGAAAAGGAACTCTATCCTGTGGGCTCCCTTCCACCTGATGGAACTGGACATATGCCATAGGCCTCTCGGCTCTTCCCCCCGGGGGGGAGGGCTGTCTAAGTCCCTGTCTGTGGCTCCCAGGGGCCCCAAGGAGGCTGAGGTTAGACAAGGACCATGGCAGGAATACCAGGAACACGCCCAAGGAGAGCTGCAACCTCCAGCTGGGACTGAGTGTGCCCCTCTCAGACTCTCAAACTGTGTATTTGGTGTGAGTTCCACCCACCAGAAGGAGCAGGGGCCCATCAGCCTTCCTGGGGCGGGGGGGGGGGGAGCGGGGGGCAGGGGGGAGAAGGGAGATGGACAGTACCACCCCTTGGATTTCTGCAAAGCCCTGAGCTAAGCTGAACTGCGCCCCCCCCCCCAGCTATAATCTCGGGTTCACCCAGCTCACACCTTCCCTGGGAGAGAATATGGCGTTTGGGGTTTAAGTCTTTGCAGCAAGGAGGGGATGCTCAGCCCTGCCTTCTAGCAGCAATACGTGGGGAACACATCGGGGCAAATTACACCTCTAAGCCTCCTTTTCCTCATCTGTAAACCGGGTGTACCTGCCTCCCAGTGGGGAGACGTGGAAGCTGCAATCATTATTGTTATCATGACTACTGAGCAGGGGCTGTGAGAGGAGGGAGGATGTGGGCAGCGGCTGTGCAGGGGAGAGGCAGGATGGTACCTGGGCTCTCAGGCTTGGAGAAGCTTCCGGTGACGATTTCCCTGAGGAGAGCAGGCAGGGGGGCGGGCTGACAGTCCTGGGCCGGGTCCTGCACACTCAGGCCGGTCTCCTGGCCCGGCCCCAGGACGCTGCTCTCCAGTGCCTGCGGGGAAAGAGAGGGTCTGAGGGAAACCTGGGACCCTGGCTCTGTGGCCTGAGTGTCCCAGGGAAGGAGCAAAGGCCTGTCGCCCAAGATGTGGGTGCCCAGGAGGCCGTCAGGAAATCCCCCAAATGGATAGAAGCCTGGGTGTTAGAATGGCAAAAACCACCCCCAGGAAGGACACGCTTGTGTGCCTGCCAGGAAAGGGGGCTCCTCCAGGGCCAGAGAACCAAACCCCACAGCTGGCTCCAACCCAGCTCCAACCCAGCTAGGTGAGGATCCCACCGTGCGTGCCAGCAGAAGTCACCCTAACCCCAAAATTTGGGAGGAGGGACCCCCATCCTCCGCAGGGCACTGGGATAAGGGAGCCACAGCAGCTGAGCCCTGCATACCCCTCTACCCTGAGTCCAGTCAGGCTGGGGGTGCAAACTGGAGCCCCTGTGCACCTTACCACCACATCTCCCACCACGGGACCCCCAAGATGCATCCACTCCTCACCAGCTCCTTCCAGAGCAACTGGATGGGGTGGGCACAGCCCGCAGGACCCACCTGGATAACGGTCTCCAGTGCCAGCTGGGCCTCCAAGGACCCCCCCAGCCCCAAGCTCATGGGGGGAGGCTGCGGGCACCCCTCTCCAGGCCCTTCTCCCAGGCCCCAGACTAGCTCAGTCCACACAGCCCACCCCACAGCCAGACTGCAGTGCTGAGCACTGGGCAGATTAGGCTCTAATCCGTGCCCCCATGTGACCACAGGGTGGGAGGGGTGAGGTGGGGGAGGGGAGGGGAGAGCAGAGGAGGGGAGAGGAGGGAGGCAGAAGGGAACAGAAGGAAGACTTAGGATATCGAGGGGGAGGGGAGTGGAGAGGGGAAGGGGTGGGGGAGAAAGGAAAGGGAAAGAATGGAGAGGGGGAAGGGTAGGGAAGGGAGGGGAGGGACCACGGGGAAAGGACTCTCACCACACACACACACACACACACACACACACACACACACAGGCTCCCCAACTGCTGGGTCCTAGAGCCCTCCAAGCTCAGGGGATGGAGTCAGCATCCAGGAGACAGAAAAGGCCACAGTCTTCTAGTTTTTTAGGAATGTACAGGGGTGGGCAAAGCTAGGTTCAGCTCTGAGTACAGAAAGCACAGAGCTGCCCTGGTCGGGTCCTCAGTTAGTCTGGTGTCATCCTGTACACCGAAAGGTGGTGGGTTTGGTTCCTGGTCACGGCACATACCCAGGCTGCCAGTTCAATCTCCGGTCAGGGTGCATGCAGGAGGCAACCGGTAGAATGTTTCTCTCTCATGTGAATATGTATTTCTCTCTCCCTCTCTCTCTCTCTCTCTCTCTCTCTCTCTCTCTCTTCAAATCAATAAAAACATTTTTAAAAAATCCTCCATGAGGAATGGTGTGTCTCCTTGCTTGCTCACCAGCTGGAAGGAAATAATGTTGAGGTCCCAAGGCCAGAGCCACAGGCTGGAAGGGGTCTGGGTCACCATGTAGAAAGCCACCTGCCAAATACCCAACAGGGCTTTTCATGAGCAAGAAATAAATTTCTGTTGTGTTGAGCCTTAGAGATTTCTGGGTTTTACTATCAGCTAGTAATAGCTTTTTTAAAAGTATATTTTTATTGCTTTCAGAGAAGAAGGGAGAGGGAGAGAGAAATAGAAACATCAATGATGAGAAAGAATCATTGATTGGCTGCCTCCTGCAGGCCCCACTGGGGATGGAGCCCGCAACCCGGGCATGTGCCCTGACTGGGAATCAAACCGTGACCTCTTGGTTCCTAGATCAATGCTCAACCACTGAGCCACGCTGGCTGGGCTCAGCTAGTAATATCTTAATCACTACACACTGTTAGATAGTGGATAAGTGTTAGCTATGGTCTGTGTTATCATTACTATCACTAGTATTGCTGTCTTCCCAGCACCCAAACTAGACCCTGTGCCTGGTACACAGTAGACCCTCAACCACTTTTTTGTAGGTCTAGAGGTAAGAACTAGCAAAAAAATCCCTCAGGGATTACTCATGAGTTTCAAGCCCACTTATCCCTTTTTTATTCTCCGGTTGCTGGCTAGAGATTATAACAAAAATACCGAACCGACCATGAGCCAGGCCCTGTCCCAAAACTCTGCATTTGTACTTTATCTGTTTCAACATTCTTGGCAGCCCTGTGATGTGACACTGTTCTACCCACTTTACAACTGACAACACTAAGGCTCAGTGAAAGTTAAGTAACTTGCTCAAAGTCACCCATCCGTGAAGGGCTAAAGCCACCAGACAAGGTAAGACCCAGGTATGCCGGGAGGGTGGGGGGAAGGGGGAGAGATCAACCAAAGGACTTTGAGACGCATGCATATAAGGATAACCAATGGACACAGACACTAGGGGGGGTGAGGGCATGAGCGGGGGAAGTGGGGGGCAAAGGGGGGATAAGGACACACATGTAATACCTTAATCAATAAAGAAAATAAAAATTAAAAAAAAAAAGCTTAACGGAGGGGGGGGGTTGGGGGCGGGGACCGGGGAGGACCCAGTTATGCCTGATTCCAAAGTTTTAAACAAAAAACAGTCATGGCTACTATGTGTAGTGCTTACTGTGTGCCAGGCACCACCCTCGGTCTCTGGTGTGTGGTATTAAAAAAGCCGTCTCGCCCTAGCTGGTTTGGCTCAGTGGATAGAGCATCAGCCTGCAGACCAAGGAGTCCTGGGTTCAATTCCAGTCAAGGGCATGTACCTCGGTTGCAGACTCCTCCCCGGCTTAGGTCTGGTTAGGCTCATGCAGGAGGCAACCAATCAATGTGTTCCTCTCACATAGATATTTCTGTCTTCCCTACTCTCTAAAATCAATGGAAAACTATCCTCGGGTGAGGATTAAAAAACAACAA